AGGCCTTCAATGAGATGGACTGACACGGTGGCTGCAATGATGGGCTCAAGTATAGCAGGGATTATGGGGCTGGCACGGGATCGGGCAGTGTTTCGTTCTGCTGTGCGTGGGGTCGCTATGAGTCAGAAACGACTCGACGGCACTTAACAACAACAACAACAACAACAACAACGCATCTTCCTTATATTTATAATAGCCAAAAGTCTTTATTCAATACAGATTCAACATAAATATTCAATTATTTTTTTGAAATTGTAATTGATTTGTTATTAACACAGTGGCATGATATCATTCTGAAATTTTATGCAAAGTGAAATGCAAGTCTTCCTCATGTTGTTATTGAAACATGCTGCTTGTAAAGCTGAGGAAAGAGACAGGAACTCTGAGCTCTAAGAGTCATAGACAGGTTTAAAGCAAATATAGATACTCCTTCTATTTCAAAACATACAATCATGACTGGTAATAAAACCAAACCCACTGCCATCAAGTGGATTTTGACTCACAGTGACCCTAAAAAAAATTTTAAAAAAAGATATAACCCAAGTTTGCCGGTTTAATGTTTTCTTCCTGTGCAATTTAGTGACATCAATTACATTAGTCATGTTGTGCAACCATCGCTAGCAACCACTGACAAATTTCCCACCACCATAGACAGAATGACTAGATAATGACTGCCCTCCCTGCCTCCCTTTCACCCCAGTAACCCCGAATGACCTTTGACCTCTATCCATTTGCCTATTCTGAGTAGTTCATTTGAGTGAGATCATACGATATGTGTGCTTTTGTGACTGGCTAAGTTAGCTCAGCATAACGTTTTCAGGGTTCGTCCATGCTGTGGCATGCATCAGGAGTGTGTGTCTCTTTATGGCGGAGTAAGCCTGCCCTGAGTGTATGTACCACGTTTTGTTTATCCATTCATCTGTTAGTGGACATTTAGGTTGTTTCCACCTTTTGGCAATGAAAAGCACCAGATTTTAGTAATTTTTTTTTTTTTTAAGTAATTTTTATTCTAAAACAGCTCAATGGTGTAGAACATTGTGGCTAAGGATGCCAATTTCTGATGACTTTGCTTTATTTAGTTAAGGAACTCCCCTGAGGAGGCCATCTATTTTTAAGACATGGGGCCACGTCCAAGGTCTCCTTCCCCCTCACAGCTATCCTTAGGGTCTCAGCCTGCTTTTACTCCTCTTAGGAGCCCCAGTGTGCAACAGTTAAGCACTTGGCTGCTAACTGAAAAGTTGGCAGTTCGAACCCCTCAGCCACTCTATGGGAGCAAGACTCGGTCATCTGCTCCTATAAAGATCACTGGCTATAAAACCTTCTGGGGGCAGTTCTACTCTGTCAGTGGGGCCACTGGGAGTCAAAACTCAACTGGAGGGCACTCACCAACAGCCACAGGCCACCAGGGCTCTGCTCTTCCAAGCCTGACTCCCCACTCTCAATTTCTTTACTGCTCATAGGCTTTCTTGGTGTCAAAGCGAGATTTTAAGATTGCTTCTAGGAAGAAGAAAAGAGACAGCAAAAATGATAAACATGGGAAAGTGACAAAGATCACTTAATGTAGCCAAGGTTTTGTTCCTTTGCATTGTTCCTGGGAGGGGAGAGGAGATTACAAAATCGAACATGAGAAAATGACAAAGGTTAACAAATCAAACTCCAGTGCAGATGTAGGTAAGAACCTCTTGCTCCTCAAAATTAAGAACCAGTCTCTTTCATCCTGTGGCTCTAAAGCTCTGCCCAAGACTCATGAATTTTGGGAAGGTTGGTGGTTTGAACCCACCCAGTGGTGGCTCAGCAGAAAGGCCTGGTGATATGCTCCTGAAAGTCACAGCCCTGAATCTCATACAGAACACAGTCTGCCCTGAAACACTTGGGTTGCCATGAGTCGGAGTCAATTCAACAGCAATTGGTTTCTTTCCATAACCTCCTTTGCCTCCTGGTTGGTTTCTGGTTAGCATCGTATTGAACCAGCGTCAGTGATACTCAATGCCTTTCTCTGGCATACAACAATAATGAGAAACTACTCTCATTAAAAACAAACAAACATATGTGTAGAGTAGATTCTACAGAAAAGTAGGTGGGTCCAAGGATAAGTTTCACAGCATGCTGGCGAACAAACCACATAACTGCTGTTCTTCGGAAGTGCCCTCCAATCCCCCTGGTGCAAGAGCTTCTCGCTTGGCCTGTCCCCTACCTGATGCCCTGTGTCTCCACTGCCCGGATCCTCTGTTCCCTGTTGCTCTCGCTTCTTTCCTGGATTGCCATGGAATTTCACATCTTCTCCTGTGATCATGCAGAGTCCTTTAGCTTTCTTGGCTGGCGCCTGGACACTGCCCATCACTCTAGTGTTACAAGTGCAACCTTCTGCCCAAAGCACTTACCAAGAAGTTTTCCCAAACAATGCTGTGCACACAGAGAGAGGCAGCTCCAGATCAACCCCTGGGGTCAGCCTGACCAAAAACCAAACCAAGTCCCTGCCAGCGAGTTGGGTCCGATTCATAGCAACCCCTCCTTGGGTTTCTGAGGTGGTATCATGACAGAGTAGATCACCCAATCTTCCTTCCAAAGAGTGGCTGGTGGGTTTGAACCACCTACCTTCTGGTTAGCAGTCAAATGCCTTAGGCAATACACAACCAGAGTCCCACAACTCGCTTTTGTGAGATCTTGGGCAAGTTACTTTGGTCAACTCTCTGAGCTGTTAACTGGAGATGATAATAATACTCACTCCATTTGTTTTTTGTGAGGATTAAATGAGATAATCTATGTAAAATGCAAAAGATCTCTTTAAAGTGTTAAAAAGAAAAGATGTCACAAGGAAGAATAAGGGAGCTCTGGTGGTGTAGTGCCTAAGGCATTTGACTGCTAACCAGAAGGCTGGAGGTTCAAACCCACCAGCCTCTCCTCTGAAGGAAGACTGGGTAATCTACTTCTGTAGAGATACTGCCTTGGAAACCCAAGGAGGGGTTGCTATGAGGTGGAATTGACTCAACGGCAGTGAGTTTGGTTTGGTTTTAGTTTATGAAGACTGAGGTACACCTGACCCAAGCCATGGTATTTTCAATTGCCTTACATGCATACAAAAGCTGGACAATGGATAATGCAGACCAAAGAAGAATTGATGCCTTTGAATTATGGTGTTGGTGAAGAATATTGAATATATCATGGACTGACAGAAAAAGGAACAAATCTGTCTTGGAAGTAGTACAGCCAGAATGCTTCTTGGATGGGAGAATGGCAAGACTTCATCTTATGTACTTTGGACATATTATCAGGAGAGACCAGTCCCTGGAGAAGGACATCATACTTGGTAAGGTCAGCATAGAAGACAAAGACCCTCAGTGAGATGGATTGACACAGGGGCTGCAGCGATGGCCTTGAGCAGAGCAACAATTGCGAGGATGGCGCAGGGTCGGGCGGTGTTTCGCTCTGCGGTACACAGGTTGCTATGGGGTGGAACTGACTTAACAACAACCACAGGAATATTTTTGAAGTCAACATTTTATGTGTTCTTCAAGGTGCCTGTATCCCCAGGACCTACAGGGACCCCATAAATATTTGATGAATGAAAGTTATTTCAACAATCCCTTAAATATTATCTCTTTTCCTCCTATAGTCCAGTGAAGCTCCTAAAGTGTGTGGACCACAGCACTCATCCTGACTGTGCCTTAAATTCGTAAGTAATTGTCTTAACCCACATCTCCTTACTTTCCTAGGGTAACTGGTTCTTAGTGTGTGTAGGTCTCAGGCGGTGCAAATGGTTAACAAACTCTGCTGCTAACTGAATGGTTGGAGGTTCAAGCCTACCCAGAGGCATGTTGGAGGAAAGGCCTAGTCATCTCCTTTGAAAAATTCAGCCATTGAAAACCCTAGGGCACACGGTTCTACTCTGACACACATGGAGTCACTACGAGTTGGATTACCCAATAAGCATGCTAAGCATGGGCTTGCTTGTGCTTACTTACTAACCTGTAGGGAACAATTTCACATTTTTTCACCACATCAAAAATTCTCCTTCTAGGTGTGGCTGGCATGTCTCTCTCTCAACCCCACAGCACCTTCCTATAGAATCAAAGCCTCTTTCAAACTTCCAGTCCCTGGCAGGAATGGAGTAATCATAAGGAAAGTAAGCTTATGTGATGGTTGGAGCTGTGTGTCAACTTGGCTGGACCCCAGTTCTGTGTGGTTGTTCCCATGATGGGATCAGATGACTGAGTTCTGAGTGGCCAGTCTGCCCAAGGGGAGTTTCCCTAGGGGCCTGCTTGCAATGATATTCCAAGGACAATCTGGAAGAACGGCATTCCGAACTACAGACTTCCTTGAGTGAGTGGCTCACCGCTCCGCTGGAGATCTCGGATTCATCTTTTATTGGAAACAACAACCAATATACTGCATGCCAGCTTGAATCTCTCAGCTCCGCTGTGCTTGTGGAAACAAAGGCGGCTGCAAGCCCCACCTCCTACAGAGACGGACTTTTCAGCTTGGGCTTGTCGGCTTCTATACGCTTGTGAGCCATTTGCCTAAGATAAATCTCTCTCTCTCTCTCTCTCTCTCTAAATATATATATATATACCTTGCTGTTTTTTTTTTTTTTTTTTTTTTTTTTTTTTGTGTGTGTGTGTTTCTCTAGAGAACTCAATCTAACACAGCTTAGTGGTCAGTAGTGAACAGTTTCACATGTTTTCCCTCACATTTTGTTTGCTGTTCAGACCTGTTGTATTTGGCATGCATTTTTGGAGTCCTCTCAAAGGAGGTAAAGAATAGTGTTTTGGACCTAAATATCAAATCTACCTACATTCCTCTGCGGCTCAAAAACCTTCAGTGGCTCCCTACTTCCAAGTCCTAACTTCTAGCCTGGCATTCCAGGTTCTTCATAATCTTTCTGAACATATCACCTACTGCTCCTCATGGTGAACTTTCATTTCAGGCAAATTTTGATTGCCTTTCCTAAAAATGCCCTGTGTATTTCTCCCTACAATCCTGTGGCCACTGACCCTTTTGACAGTGCTAGCAAGGATGGCTGAACTTTGTCTTACATACTTTGGACATGTCATCAGGAAAGATCAATCACTAGAAAAGGACAATATGTTTGGTAATATAGAGGGTCAACAAAACTCAGAGAACTCCTCAATGAATTGGATTGACACAATGGCTGCAATAACACGTTCAAAAGTGCCAATGATTATAAAGATGGCCCAGGACCAGGTAACGTTTCATTCTGTCATACTTAAGGTCACCACAAGTGAGAGCTCACTGACTACAACAAGAGCACTGGAATTGGAGTCGGATGATCTCAATTTGACAGTTTCCTCATCTACCAAACTAAAACTAATAGAAACCACCTTTCAGGTTTGTTGTGAGGTTTAAATGAAACAAAGTGTGTACAAGAGCCCATCTTGCTTCTAGACAGAGTGAAGCTCCTGAGCCTGGGCTGAATGCAGGATTCAGGTTCCAAAGTAAAGGGTGCATCTGCTGGCATCACACACCAGCTCAGGTAGTTTGCAGAAAACAGATGCATTCAAGGGTTCTAAGTTGCTCGCACAGTCTTCCTGGGAGATCCGGAGAAGCAAGACTTGAAAGCTCCTTCAAAGGCCCACTTAGGACTGTTGCAGGGGAGATGCCACTGCAGCTTCTCTGGGCACAGATGCCTCAGAGAGTAGCTGTGATGCTTGCACCTGGATGCCTCTGCTTGAACCTCTGCTACTCCTATGCTGAGAGCTGGTATCTTGGGCACCACCATGGCTATAATGGATCCCATGTAGCACTTGGTGCTTCAAGCCACTTTGCTCCCAACTCAGAGTCTGACACAGTACATCTGATTGATAGAGCTTTGGCCACAGTACTCTAGGCCTTAGTCTCATGGCCTTAACTATCATGGTGGCTCCATGACCTTTCAGTTCGTAGGCAAAATTATGTCTAGTCCAGGCCCTCTTCTGAACTCCACACCTCTATGTTCAGCAGGCTCCTCAGTATGTCCACTTGGATGTCTAGTAGCTATTTCAAACTCAGCATGTCCCAAACGGAACTCCTAAACGTACCCCCTAAATGTGATCCACCATAATCTTCCCATCTCAACTGATGGTCCTCTCTGTATGCCGCTGAATCAATTCTGACCCATAGCGACCCCACGTAACAAAGTGGAACTGCCCCAGAGGGTTTTTCAGTCTGCATTCTCCATGGAGCAGCTCATCAGGTCTTCCTCCCTAGGAGTGGCTGGGTGGATTCGAAACACTGACCTTTCAGTTTGTAGGCAAGTGCCACACCATGGCTCCATCGACTGGTGGTAGCTCCCATGTTTTCTGTATTTGAGCCAAAAATTGCAGAGTCATCTTTGATTCCATCCTTTCTCTCACACCCTCATCAGAGAATCCAGAGACTCTCACCATCTACCATGTCCAGCCACCATCCAACACTCACCAGAATGACTGCAGTAGCCCCTGACAAGTCTCTGTGCTTCTGCCTTTGTTGCTCTGCAGCAAACCCAGTGAATAGAGTTAGTCTTTTATTTTTACTGTTTATGAGGGAAAAATTCAAACATACTCAAAAGCACAGAGAATAGAAGAATGAGCCTCCAAACAACTGTCATTTCAGCAACTCTAGGACGTTGTTGTCATCATCGTCATTGTTGTCGTCATTGTTGTGTGCTATTGAGTACTTCAGACTCAGAGCCACCTATAGGACAGAGTAGCACTGCCTCATAGAGTTTTCTAGGCTGTAATCTTTATGTAATCAACACCCAAGAAATCAGACGACATATTGGACTGGGCAAATCTGCAAAAGACATCTTTAAAGATGCCACTTAGAGGACTAAGGTGCACCTATCCCAAGCCATGGCATTTTCAGTTGCCTCAGATGCATGTGAGAGCTGGACAATGAATAAGGAGGACTGAAGAGTAATTGATGCATTTGAATTGTGGTTTTGGCAAAGAATACGGAAATCACTATTCTGAAAAGAGAGTCAAAAGAATGAACAAATCTGTCTTGGAGGAAGTACAGTAGGAATGCTCTTTAGAGGCCAGTATGGCCAGACTTCACCCCTTGTACTTTGACCATGTTGTCAGAAAGGACCATTCCCTGGAGAAGGATATCATGCTTGCTAAAGGAGAGGGTCAGTGAGAAAGGAGAAGGCCCTCAATGAGATGGACTGACACAGTGGCTGCAGCGATGGGCTTGAGCATAGCAAGGGTTGTGAGGCTGGTGCGGGACCAGGCAGGGTTTCGTTCTGTTGGACATAAGGTCACTGTGAGTCAGAGCCGATTTGATGGCACCTAACAGCAACAACAACTATCTTTATGGCCTTTTCTTCCATGGAGTGGCTGGAGGGTTTGAACTGGGGACAGTTTGATCAGCAGCCTAGTGCTTAACCACTGCACCACCAGAGCGACTTTAACATTAGAATAGTCCTTTAAAAATTCAGCCGTGTCCCTTGTCTGTTCAAAACTCTGAAATAACTTCAAGTTCACTCAGAATAAGATTTCAACAGCCTATCCCTGCCGCACTTTACTCTGGCCTCTTTTATTGCTATGCTTCTTCTCACTGAGCTCAGCTACAGTGGCCTCCTGCCTTCTGGAACGTGCCACCCTCCTGACTCAGGACTTTGCCACAGCTGTTCTCTCTGTCTGGAAGTCTTTCCTCCAGCTGTTCATGTGGCTAGCTCCCTCACCTGCTTTAAGCATTGGCTAGAGTCTTACCTCCATGAGGCTACGTGGGCCCTGGTATTTAAAATTCTACCTGTTTTGTTCAAGTCTGCCCCTCATCCTGCTTGACTTTCCCTTTTACATTATGTAACATTGATCATATGCTTTACTTACTCATTAGGTTTATTCTTTATTGGCTGCCTCTCACCTGTTAGCACATGAGTTCCAGGAGAGTAGGGATTGTCACCTGTTTTGTTCACTGATGTGTGTGTCTCAAGCACCTAGAATAGGACCTGCAACATGGCAGTCTCTTAGGATTGAGCAGATGAGTGAATGAGTGATTGACCTCTGCCCTGAGGAGGCACAGGTTTAGAGATAGAGCATGTTCAAAGGTGTGAGCCAAAAGGAATGACACGTGTCCTACAAGAAGCACCAGCAGCATATGCGTCAGTTCCAGATTATGATGGCAAGAAACAGAAACCAGCTGGGAATGACTCAGTAGGGGCATAAAGGGGCATAAGGTTATTGTTCCTGGGTGATGCAACGGTCAATGTCCTCAGTACTAACTGAGAGCTCAGTGGTTTAAGTCCATCCAGAGAAGAAAGGCCTGGTGACCTACTTCTGAAAAATCAACTTTTGGAAACCCTATGGGGCATGATTCTGCTCTGACACATGTGAGATTGCCATGAGTTGGGATCAACTCAGTGGTAACTGGGTTAGGTTGTTGCAAGGATTTATAAGGATTTACTGGAACAGATGTTTTAATGAGCCTGGAATTTCATAAGCCAGGGTAAGTAGGTGTCTGTGGTGTTACAATGTGAAATCTTTATGTTTTTTCTCCTTGCCACCTTAACAAGACTGTCAATTTTATACAGACAGGTTATGTGAAATACATCTTTGTAAAGCTCATGCCAACCACTTGTCTCCTGTGATGGCTTGTGTATTGCTGTGATGATGGAAGCTTTGCTACCAGTATTTCAAATAATAGCAGGGTCATCTATGGTGGACAGGTTTCAGCAGAGATTCCAGACTAAGGCAGACTAGGAAGAAGGACCTGGTGACCTACTTCTGTATAGACTGGCCAGTGAAAACCCGATGAACAGCAGTGGGACACTCTGACGTAGTGCCAGAAGACTAGCCTTTCAAGTTGGAAGGCACTCAAAATATGACTGGGGAAGAGCTGCCTCCTCAAAGGAGAGTTGACCTTAATGACATGGATGGAGTAAAGCTTTCAGGACCTTCATTTACTTATGTGGCATGACTCAAATGAGAAGAAACAACTACAAGCATCCATTGAAAAGCAGAATGTGGAATGTATGAAGTAGGAATCTAGGAAAATTAGAACTTGTCAAAATGGAAATGGAATAAAGGTCAATATCCTAGGCATTAGTGAGCTGAAATGGACTGGTATTGGCAATTTTGAATCAACAATCATATGGTTTACCATGCTGGGAATGACAAATTGAAGAAGAATGGTATCACATTCTTTGTCAAAAAGAATATTTCAAGATCTATCCTGAAGTACAATGCTGTCAGTGATAAGATAATACCTATACATGTACAAAGAAATCAGTTACTATGACTATTATTCAAAGTTACACTCCAACTAATAAAGCCAAAGATTAAGAAATTGAAGATATTTACCAACTTCTGCAGTCTGAAATTGATCAAACAAGCAATCAAGATGCATTGATAATTATTGGTGATTGGAATGTGAAAGTTGCACACAAAAAAGAAGTATTGGTAGTTACAAAATATGGCCTTGGTGATAGAAATGATACTGAAGATCTCATGATAGAATTTTGCATGACCAAAAACTTACTCTTTTTTAAAAAATTTTAAATTGTTATTTGGGTGAAAGTATATAGAGCAAATTCATTTTCAATGCAGCAGTTCATACACATTTTATTTCATGACATTGACTGCAATTCCCCACAATGTAACAACTCTCTTCCCACTTCCTCCCTGTAGTTACCTCTTCCCAGTGTCCATCCCTCCATACTCTCCTGCCCCCTGAGCTATCTCCCTGTGCAAACACTGTCTTTCTGTTCTCCCATGATTGAGTGCTCTAAGGAGTGTATCTACCTGATGTAAATGCTCACCCTTTATACCTGTCTATTATTTGGCTGGAAGCTGCAAGAATGAGTTCAGTCATTTACCTCAACTAGATACACTCCTTGGAGATAACAATCATGGGAGAAAGAAGGGCTGCTTATGCACAGGGAGACAGCTCAGGGGACAGGAGTGTATGGAGGGATGGACACTGGGAAGAGGTAACTATGGGGAGGAAGTGGGAGGGGAGCTGTTACATTGTGGTAAACTGTGGTCAA